ATATATATTGCTCTTTCTTTAATTAGAAGTCTCGTTTTTGAGCTTTAGATACAAAATTCATTTTAAGAGATCATGAATATTTTAGCCCCAAAAAATAAAATTCCAGATCTCAAAACGAGTGACAAATATCGAATTAAAACTATATAATAATTAAAAATAATAACACAAGAATCAAAAGTTGAGTTGACAATTTTGCTTCAACAAACACTTTTCCTATCGAATTTTGCAATGAAATAATGAATATAATTCTCTAAAAGTGAAATGCAATTCACTGGAAGAAAAAAATAACAAGCAAAAACAGAGATGATAGAATAAGAAATAAAACGCATTCAACGAATCCGATTTATGAACAAATTTTGAAAGTTTCAAAGATATATATTTATTACGTTATGTATCTCAATATATAATATTATACAACATTATATTTATGAAATTTCATACTACTAGATTGCATATAAATTCTCTTAACACATTTTTTTTCCCCATTCCAAACACTCTATATGTATAATATGTGTATAGTCATATATAATAAGTGTAAATACCCTAACTTACGTGTATTGCTATAAGTTATAACACTCCTAAGTCCAGACTAAAAACATTCATCTATATCGACATGAGCTATACAATGACTATACATACTATAATAACTTCCGTTTTGAATTAATATTACTCATCAATATTAGTTAGTTTCAGATACATATTATAATAAAATAACGTGTAATTACTTATCCACATATAGAAGGTAAGACAACAAGTTTTCTAGAATATCTTAATATATCTCAATTCATGAAATATCTTATTCCATCTCGATAACCAAACGAGCTGGCAAGCCCATAGTTTTCAGACTTGTGCTCTCATTGATTATTTTTTTTGCCACGTCAATCACATGTTAAATAACACTCGTTTAATTAAATAACATAATTCAAGTTCCAAATACCTTTTTTTTTATATCATAATCTTTATGTTCAAACGCCTACCGTTCGATCCAATTTACCATAAGATCCTATTTTGATAACCCATTGAAACGAACGGGTCTTGGGTTCAAGCCCAGATTATTATTTGCAAGCCCAGTTAGGGCCCAAATTGGAACTATAAATTCTTCATAAACCCTAACCGCCATTTTTCTTCCTTCAACTCTCAGTGTAGCGGCACTTTTTCACCTTCAAATTTGTAAGTGTCAATTTCTCTTAATTATAATGTAATGATCTTTTGTATTGTAAAACACAAATGTATTTAGTGACTTTTTATTATTGATGATGTTTTTGCTCATATTTTCTCGATTATACGTTGTTCGATATGATTTTAGTAATTGTTACATGTTAATTTGATCTAGAATAGACCCGAGCTGCAATTTTGTTGATTGAAATAGTTGCCCTGTTGATTGATTAATGAAAGATTTGTTCTTTGTTTGATTTGACCCGAATTGAGCAAAATGGTTAGAGCTAATCCCATTGCTCACATATCATTGTTTATAGTGATTTTTACATGTTAATTTGAGTTAGGAAGCAATTTGCTTGATTGAAACAGATGCCCAGTTGATTGATTGATGAAAGATTTGTTCTTTGTTTGATTTGACCTGAATCGAGCAAAATGGTTTTTATAAGGAATAGCTTAAGAGTATTCATATAGCTAGATCTCATTTTCCCCATATCATTGTTTCTTGTGATTTTTACATGTTAATATATGTTTCTCGTTTAAATTGGGCTAGGCTATACTAGACATACGTAGTTATAGAGGGACTGCATTCTTTTTCTTTGAAACAGATGCCTAGTTGACTGATCAATGAAAGATCTGTTCATTTTGCCTAGTTGATTGATCGATGAAAGATTTGTTCTTTGTTTGATTTGACCCGAATTGA